TCCCTTTCACCCCAGCTCAGTGCTGAGTACCTCCAGCTGGTTGTTTGTAGCCCTCTAAGAGGTGTGACGGTGGCTGTTTTCCAGGCCAGCCCCAGAGTAGCCAGGCAGTCTGCCACAAATTAGGCTAGACAGGTGGGGCCCAGAGCTGGTGCGGCCAAGGTAAGCAAGACAGAGGGCTCTATTCTGCCAAGACCGGGCACTCAGTTCTCCTTTCTGCTGCCTCCCTAAAGACGGCATGCATCAAATCAGCAAGTCACACTGGGATTGCAGGCATGCCTTGTGGACTGGGACTGAGAACTAGCAATTTCCCTAGTTCCCAAGTCACTTCACTCCCTAGCTGAGGCCTGTTTTTACAAAGCATTTGTGTATAGCCCACCTGTTTCCCAAAAAAAAAAAATAAACTCTAGCATATTCCAAAATTATAAAACACGAGATTGGTGAGTAAAAATCCATATATAACAGCTTTGAGGAGGCAGGACTTTCAAAATGTTAAATGCACAGACTGTTTGATTCACTAAGTCCTTAAAGGTTTTCTATAGAAACACTTGCACAAAGATGTATGAACATGTTCGTTGCAGCAGTTTGTACTGGCAAAAAAAACTCACACTTTTAAAAAAAGATTTAATTTTTACTTATTATTATTAATTTGCTATAAGGCATGTGTGCTCACCAGAGAGAGAGAGAAAGTAAGCAAGCTGCCAGTTCTAGGACTTGAGCCGCAGTTGGCCATGTGGGAGTCAAGTGCCCTTAACCACCACGCCACCTGCCGGCCACATGTATCTATATATTCTTGTATCACTAAGTCTTAGGTTATTTTCTTTTTCTGAGAAGGAACCTAAGAAATCACCATGTAACCAGAGCTCCATTAGTTATCAAAATTCTAAAGGTTCTTGGGACCAGCAGTTGGCATAATGGCTATGTCCCTGGACTCCCATGTAGTCAACCATGGTTTGAGTCCCGGATCTGGTGGCTTAAATTCACGTCGGGCACATGTGCGTGCGTGCCCAAGATCCTGAGAGGAGAATGGAGGAAAAGGAATTGCGGTATGGCCATCCCTCCTGGGTGGGGGTGATTTCTTGCTTTCCATCTCTCTGTCTCTGTCTCTCTGATGAGTGCACGTGCCCTATAGCAAAAACCTCTCCAAAAATAAATAAATAAATACATCTAAAGGTTCCTTTCTGAAAACAGGATATTAGGCCAGCTCTGTAGCACAGCAATAATGTACTAGTTATGAGATGCTGAGTCTCACATGGCGACTGTGGCTCAAATCCACAGCCCTGATGGCCTGAGAAGTACAGATATGCGCACGAATGCCCAGGATCCACGGCACTGGACTGGAGGGAGGGGACTGCAGCGTGACTGGACTTCTGGAGGGTGCTCTTCTCTCTCTCACACACACACACGCATACACTCTGTCATGGAAAAAGAAGAAAAAAGAAATTCAAATTCAAAAAAGGATAGTATGACATTCAGAGCACAGGTTTTGATGTCAGACAGGGCCGGGTTCCAGGCCTTGCTCTGCCACTTCCCACTCATGGGACTTGGGGCAGATCATTTCTGCCCTGGGCCTTCGTTTCCTCTATGTCAGGCAAGTCACACATCTTTCCTTGGGATGTCATGGAGAGGAGATGCAAACAGCCACAAAAAGTACCACGCTGGTGCCAGGGAGTGTCCCGTGCAATGGTTGCTATAGCAATATGCATATGTAACCTCTCTTCAGGACCACTCTACTGGCAGAAGGCACACTGGGCAGGGGGAAGCCAAGGAGCAGTGTGGGCGACAGCAGTGATTGACAGGAACACTCAAGTTAGAGCTGAGAGGAAATGAGCTGGGACCAGGCCTTGAGGAAGCAACAGCTGGACTCCAGTGGAAGCAATGAGGACACCCAGGAAAGCAGGTCACCATAAAGCAAGAGGGGCTGCTTTTTTTTTTTTTTTAAGAATATTTTATTTAACTCTTTATTATTACTATTTTCCAATTTAATCAGAGAGAGACAGAGAAAAAGAGAGAAGGAAAGTGAAAAAGCGAGCCACCCGAACCAATCAACCATGTGGAAGCCTTTAACCCCCATGCCACCTGCCGGCCCCAGTGGGCTTGTTTTTAACTAATGTAAGTGGTTAGGAACAAACAGAGAAGATTCTTGAGCCAGAGTACCAGGGGAGGTACTTATGGGCTAGGGCTGCTTCCATGCTCCACCCCCCCTTTTGCCTTGACCCCCTCACCACTGCTACTGCAAGGATTCCAGTAAGTGCTGGAAAATCTCATCTCTCTTCCTCTACAGGGGGTGGAGAGGGTACTAAGTATGGAGAAAGGTCTGACACACCGGCTCCAGTCAACCGGGAGCCTGATTTCCTTAGCAAGATTAAGATCTGGACCCACAGAGTGGTCCAACCCAAGCCCGGCAACTTGGCCCAAGATCTTCTGTCAGACAGTTTCCCTCCCTGCAACTCCCTAGAGTAGGGCTTCTTCAGGTCTCTTCCCCATTTGGCAGCAAGTGCAAAGCTACTTGAAATAGTAACAGCTAGGTCTGAATTAGCAAAGAATTCCAGTTATGGGTGGGCTCAACCTAAGAAAAGAGGCTCTGTGGGCCTCCTGGCTTCTTTGGGCCCTGAGAACCAGCCCCAACAACACTGGCCTCATTCTTGGAGCTGAACGCTGAATTCTGCCCTTCGAGGGATAACAGGGAGGTAGGCCAAACTATTCCCCCAACTCCCAAACCAACAGCCTCCATTTCCTGCATGGAGGAACATAGCCAGCAGGCTCTGGAGCCGTCACATAGCACCATGGGGAAATAAATGGAACGCTGTAGAGATGATTAAGAGCAATAGGTTTAGAGGCAGCCCACAGCATGGTAGCTAAGGTGGTTGGATCCCATGTGGCCAATTGTGTGGTTGAGTCAGACCTGGTGGCTTGACACACACTTTGGACACATATGTGTGTATGCCTAAAATCTCAAAAGAAAAGAGAAATAGAGGTTGCAGTGTGACCAGGCCCCATGAGAGGTGCTTTCTTTCTTTAAAGAATTATTTAACTGTATTTATTTATTCATTTATTTTAACTTGACCAGAGAGGGACAGAGTGAGAGAGAACGAGAAGGAAAGTGAGAAACCAAGCCACCAGGTCCAAGACTCGAACCACGGTCAACCAGGTGGGAATCCAGCGCCCTCAACCGTCACACTACCTGCTGGCTCGAGAGGTACTTTCTTATTTTGCTTCTGTCTCTTGGCAAGTGCATGCACCCTCTGGCAAATTCATAAACAAAAACAGAAACAAATCCAGGTTTAAGACACCAGTTCTGGGGCCAATAGGTTGCACAGTGGTTAAGGTGCTGGACCCCGACATGGCTGGCTGCGGTTTGAGTCCTGGACCTGACAGCTTGAAAATCATGCCAGGCACATACGTGCATGTCCAAACTTCCAAGAGAATGGAGGAGAAGGGATTGGGATTGTGGTGTGGCCACCTACCCCCAGGGAGCAACTTCTCACTTTCCATCTCACTGTCTCTCTCCCTCTCTCTGCAGAGAGCTCACACCCCCTATGGCAAAAACCTTTAAAAACAAAACAAAACAAAACCCACCAGCTCTACCAACTGGCTGTGTGGCCTTGGGCAAATCACTGCACCTCCTGAAGGGTAATTCCAACAGGTTTGCTGAAGGTTAACAGAGATTACATCTGTAAAGTGCATGGCATTGTGCCAAGCCCATTTCAAGGGCTTACTAAAGGATAGCTATAAATCTTATTTGTGCAGCCTTAAAGAGAGTAAGGGCAGGACCAGCAGATGGCATAATGGTTATGTTGCTGGACTCCCAGGTAGCCGATCACAGCTCAAGTGCTGGATCTGGAGGCCGAAAACTCAGCCAGGCATGTGTGCATGTATGCCCAAAGTGCTAAGAGGAGAATGGAAGAGATTGCATGGCCACCCCCCCCAGGGGGTGATTTCTCACTTTCTGTTTTTCTGTCTCTCCCGTGAGTACAAGCAGCCTATAATAAAAATCTCTCAAAAAAAGGGGGGGGGGCTTTAACAACAGACAGATCAGGTTTGAATCCTAACTTGACCATTTACTGACCAGGCTGAGGTAAATTACTGAGCATTTTTGGGACCAGCAGGTGGCATGGTGGTTGAGGTGCTAGGCATTCCCACATGGCCAATCACAGTTCGAGTCCTCGACTTAACATGGCCAACCATGGTTTGAATCCTGGACCTGGTGGCTTGCTTTCTCACTTTCCCTCTTTCTCTGTGTATGTCTCTCTCTGGTCAAAATAAAATAAATGAATGAATAAGCAAAATTTTAAAAATAATTTTAAAAAGTTACTGAGCATTTTTAAGCTTCACATTCCTCGGCTGTAAAATGTGGTTGATAAATTACAGAGAAAAAAAATCCTTCCTGTGTTCTACAGGAATGCATACTCAACATTGACAACACACTGGAAAAGTAAAGAAAAAACAGCCGGTGAGGTCCATGGGGCATCACAGACACTAAAGGAATGGTGAAACGAAAGGCAGCTATAGCTACAGGCCCCATGAGCCTCGGGAGTGGGACGGACGGTCAGGGCCTGGTGTTCCAGTGAAAAGTGGAAACAAAACAAACTTTATTGCTCCTTGAATGCACACTGCTGGTTGAAATGGCCAGGTAGGGTTGTACAAAATATCATTCCATTAACCAAACAATCCAACAAGAAAAAATGTAAGAGGTTGGGGATGGCAGGTGGCATGGTGGTTGAGGGCACCAGACTCCCACATGGCCAACCACAGTTCAAGTCCTGGACCTGGTGGCCTGCTTTCTCACTTTCTCTCTCTGTCCCTCTCTGGTCAAATTAAAATAAATAAATAAAGTTAAATAAAATAATTCTTAAAGAAAAAGGTAAGAGGCACATAGCTAAACAGACAACAGCTCCCATACTATTCCAGAATTCTTCACATCCAAGTGAAGCCCTGGGTCTCCCTTTTCCCACCCCATCACTTTACCTCTTTGCAATCAAGTCCAAACTCAATTCCAACAGTGTCACTGCAAATTGTTTATTAAAACACAAAGCAATGGACAGTGAAAAACATCCTGATTTTTTTACTTTTTGGTGGGAGTGGGGTGGGGTATGGATAGGATAGGGACAGATGGAGACAGCCCAGAGGAAAGACAGCTCTATCCACCCCTCTGGCTTCCCCGGCCAGCCAGGTTCAAAGCCCCTCAATCACACCTCACGTGCCACAGTAAATGCGCATCGTGGCTGCCAAGAGTCGGTTTGGCCTATGCAGGGAGAGGATGGGAAACTTGAGGAGCTATAAGGGCTACTGAAAACCTGACACTTTACTCTGGTACTTGGTACAGAACAGACAGCCAGGTCCAGTGTGAAGGGGAGGGTTGGTTTCCTGATAGGCCAGGTTAGGCCGGTAAGAGTTGAAGAGGCTGCCCTGAGCTCATGATGGGCAGCTGGTCCTAGCCTGGGAAAACTTCATGGAAGGAAAAGAGAGCTTTTTTTTCAATCTGAGGAGGGAACTGATCCAGGGTCAAATTTCTTTTCATTCCCTGGATCCTGCCATACTAGAATAAAGAGGAATCGAGAACATCTCTTTCCTAGTTTTGCCATGTCTCTCCCTGCCAATTCTCCCTCCCAACCTGGCAACTCAGCTCTCCTTTCTCTACAGTTGTCCTTTCGGAGGATGGAAAGCACACTTCCGTTTGTTGTTGTTTTTCCTCACACTGAAATAAAGCACGAAGCTCAAAATAGAGGTGAGAAAGGAGTTCTGCTTTTCCCCAGTGCTGTGTGCCCCCATCTCACCAAACTGCCTGGATGTGAGAGGTGCCAAGGCCCTCTCTGCCAACTCGAACAGGCACTACTGTTTCCCTGGCTGCCAGCACAATCTCAGCTCCTTGTTTTTAATACTGGGGGGAGGGGGGAATGTCCCATGAGATCAATCCTGCTCTTTACCCCCCAACCCAGCCGGTCCCCAAATCATCTGCTCTTATCAAGATGATGTGGCCACCCAAAGCAGGCCACTGGGGAAGGACAAACCCAACTGGCAGCGAGCCATATGTGTGCAAAAAAGAAACCCACCCTAACTGGGCACCTGACCGACCAGTGCCAATCCAGCCTTACAACAAAATGAGGAAATCTAGCCCTCTTATCCCAGGAGAGGCCTAAACACGGAGAGTCCTAGCTTGGACTGAAAGGGAAAAACTGCTTTGTCCTCTCTGAAGCTTGAACAATAAGGCTTCTTTGTCATTTTCTTAGAGCTCTCTGATCCCTAATTGTATCTTTCCATAGAAGAAGAGCAGATTTCTGACCAGATTCTGGGTATTTCTGGTTCTGCTGCAGTGCACCATCACTTAGCATGGTGTCTGAGGGCCCCAGACACCCTCCTCAGGGCGCCCAAGGCATACCTCCCCACTGCCCTCCCTTTTCTTAAAACAGGAGCATCTCTTACTCTCTTACTTTGGAAAGCTCACCTGCCCTCCTAAGTCCTTTTGGAGAGGATATTATATGTTGCCACTTGATGCCATTAAGGCTCCTCAAGGCGAGAAGACACTTGAATTATGTCAGAGTAGGCCAGCAAAAAGGAGAGGGAAGAAGGGAGGGATGGGGAAAGCAGCCCCCTGCAGGGACTGCAGGACCCCTGCGTAGACCTGAATCTAGAGGGAACACCCACCCTGGCTCAGAGCAGGAGAGGAAAAGGCACTGTGCTGACCGGGGTGAGTCCTTCCCCAACCCCCTGGGAGGGGAAAGAACCCGCTTAGTCTTTCCTTGGGCTTCCCAAGGTGAGCCGGTTTCTAGGGAAAGGGGTGTAAGTGCTAGGAAAGGAAAATACTGCTGCTCTTCTCTGAAGTTCTCGACCAAGATTCTAAAAGCCATGACCAGACCTTCCCAGGAGAGGCTGGAGGCAGGAAAAGAAGGAAGAGAAATTCCTTAAAACAGAAGCTTCTCCAGAAAGATAAAGAAGTCAAGTCACAATTCTTAAACTGGACCAAACAGTTCCCAGGCACAGAAACAGAGAGGGAAACGTCACTCAAACTTCACTCCATCTCATCAAAACCTGTGATCTCTAATAGGATCCCTGGATCTCTTAGGCAGTGGAAGCAAGAGAACGTGATCACTCTTGACCCATCAGGTGGCCCTGCAGGTGGGAGCTAGTCCTCCAGAGAGTCTCACATCATTGACACTTGAGGGTACCTATCTTTTAAATCACAACTCAGGAAATCCACTGAGTAGCTTCTCAACAGTGAAGATTTTGCAGAAAAATGGATCTAGTTCAAGGGATAGGGACCCCGCAGCTAGTTTCTTCACAGGTGGCTTCAGTTGACATGAATGAGACCCTGAACAGTCTGATCAGAGACTGGCTGGCCCCCAACCCAGGTGAGAGCTTGACGATGGACTCTCAGCCCATCTCCAGCAGACTTTCACATGGTCCTCCCAGAAACCAACCTGAACCCATACTCTGGCAAAGGAGCTTCACCCTGGCTGTCTGCTCATCTTTGGCCAGCCGGGATCAGAGGGATCTGGAAACCTGGGACAGAGTGTAGATCCAGTAGAAGAGCCCAGGCCTCTCCTCCCTCCATCCTCTCCTCCCCGCAGCACAGTCCCTCCTAGCACTAGCTTGAAATACAGATAGGGGAATAAACAGTGCAAAAAGCAAAAGATGAAGAACAGAGTAATTTTTGACACACACAATACAAAAATAAAAATAGAGTGCCCCATCCCACCCCCTTAACCTAAACTTCATGTACCTATATCACCTTGGAAGAGCCAAAGTAAAAGAAAGAAAAAAAAGCTTTCAAGTTCAGCATCAGGAGCCAGCTATAGCTGGCCCTAGGCAGCTCTTGTTAGCTGGGTGGGCTTGGCTCCAGCCCGCCCCCGCCACACTTCGTCCTGTTTCCTCCTTCCCCTTTAGTTTTTGTTCGCCATAGAAAGATGTTCCTTCCCTTTGGACACAACCAGAGAGGAAAGTGCCCATGCCTCTCCCTGAGCGCAGGGGAAGGGGTGGGCTTGGAAACAGAGGCAGAAGCAAAGCTGCTTGGCTTACAGTACCATTAGGAAATGGCCCCAGGAGGCAGGGTTTCCTTCTGAGACTCTGAGTCACTGAAGGGACGGGTTAAAATAGAGGCAGGACCCCTCCTTCCTCAGACAGACCCAGGCAAACTCACAAACAAGGCAGAATGGAGGCAGCAAGTCTTCCTCCTTCATCTGGTCTAATCCACTGGCAGTGGCCCACTGCTTTGGAGAGCTGTGACACAGCAGGAACTGAAGCCCCTGTCAGAAGCACAATTAGGGTGGCCACTGCTCCATGCCAGTGGTCCCCAAGACCAAAGCTACAGTACCTCATCCTTTAGAAGCAAGGGAGCTTTGCCAAGCACTGCAGGAAGAATTCCGCTCATCATAGCCTCAGGCCACAGCCATCCAGCTGCCTGACTCAAAACCCCAGGACTGAGGCCCAAGTTACAATGAAAATAAAGGGCTACAATTCTCAAATGACTGAATGCTGGCCTGGAGTAATCATTAACAGCCAAAACCCAGGACGGGAGCCCAAGAGCTACTCTGTCACATAAAGGGCAGCTCAAATCTAAAGAGCTCTTGAAAAAAAAAAAAAAAATGCATCTAATAAGGCAAACTCAAAATTAAAACACATTCTAGAAAGATGGGTCTGGCCTGAGATTCCATACCGCTCTAGCCCAAGCTGAAGCTAATTTTGTTGCCTCCCATTCACAAAATTCCTTTTAGCTTAGCTGGGTCCTCCCTCATTGTTGCCCTAACTGGGAAACAGATGACAGTGACCACAAGGAAAGGGAACAGGAAAGTTTCATTCCCTTCAGAAGATTTTCTAGGGAATTAGAGACAGACACTAAGATGCTAAGGTTTAGCTTCAGAGCTGCCGGGCTTGTGGCTGACTGGCAATCCGGCAGCTCCGACATACCACGAGCCTGTGTGCTACTTGGATAGGGAAATGAAGAGATGGGGGAGAGGTGGCTACCATTACAATCAACGAGAAGTGTCACTGGGCAGACATAGCCAATCAGTCTAGTTCCTTAGGACAGCTCTAGGCATAATCCCAAACTAGCTGAACTGTGACACTGAAGGACACAATAATAAAGGGACATCGGTTCCTAGACACGCAGTGGGCAGTCACTTAGTAGGGCTCAAGTCTCTGAGGTTGCTCTTAAATTATGCTAACATAAGCCTTCTCTCTAATCCAAAGACCAGAAGAGACTTTTAAGGTCAAGTGTTCTGTTGCTGCAGGCTGGAAAGCTTCCCTGCCCCCTGGCAGCAAGACCCTACACAGGGGCCAGTAAAGAACTGCTGGGTCAGGCCCTCCTGGCTGCTGGCTCAGAGATCTAGGAGAGAGGTACCAACAAGGTGAGATGGTGAGGGTAAAACATTCAAGTGGAGAACCCGGAATTCTCATGTCTCCTTCCCTTCTTGGCAATGACTCAGTGGGATGGCTGAGAGGAAGAAGAGATTTCAAAGGAGCCAGATAAAGGAAAACAAAAGAAAAAAAAAAAAAGTGATAGGAAATCTAGTCCTCAACAGGCACGGAAATAAAAACGATCTTCTGTGGTAACAAGTCAGAGGCCATTTGAGGACCTGACGTCATCTTGGATACCAGACAGTCCTCTAACTGGCACGTGTCAGGGAGATGTGAGACAGCAAAGTTCAAACGTCGAAGGTGGAACCATCACTGAATTAATCCAGAAAGGCTTCCAAGTAAGGAAGCATTTTCTCTTCTTTAAAAGTCCTCCCTTTTTTCCTTTTGTCTTTACCATACAAATTATACAACTTCTCATACATATCCTCTCAATGCAAGGGCCTCTGAAAACTATCTGGACAGAACTTCAGAACACACCCAACTCCCAGCAATGGTCTTTACAGGTTTTAAGATGCCATTTCCCTGCTGTTAACTGCGAACCTAAAAAAAGGAACCGTGATTGCTCTGAGCTCGGAGTCCTTTCCACTAGGTATACAACTGAGGATCCTTGAACAGGAAGGACCCAGCTTATGCTAAGTACCTTAGAGAGGAAAGAAACGGCTGGGGGCCAGCCACGCAGACAAGAATAGGACTGAAGCAGGTCTGGGACCAGGTGGCCGATGAGGGCTGCTCTCTACTCACTCTGCCTTTTTATCTCCTTTAATTTTCATGTGTTTTGTTTCGTTTTGTTTTTGTTAATCATTGTGAAAAATACGGAAACTAAAACCAGCAGGTTTGGTCTCCTTCCCACACCCTTCCACCCTGTTCAGAACAGTCGTTTGTTCTCACAACCGGCAGAGGCAGAAGAGGGTTGGAATGAAGACTCCGAAGGCCACCAGGATGGGAAACATGAGGCTGCTGTTGTCCGAGGCATAGGGGTTGGGTGTGCGGGGGCCCGACTGCACCCGGTTCTTATTGGTCTGTCTTCTGAGATTAGACCCTTCATCATATTCTTCTTCTTCTTCTTCCTCTTCTTTCTTCTCCAATCCTGGATGAGGCTGTAGCTTTGGTACATCTAATGCAAGAAAGAAAACACCTGTCAAGTAAGGCCCAAGACATTGAAGAGCAACATATTAGCCAAAACAGACTCCTGTGACTTAACCACAGGAAGGGGCAGAAATAGCCTCTGGCCTACGAAACAGTGGAGTGCTATGAATGCTAGTTTTTTGTTTGTTTATTTGTTTTTGCTACAGGACGTGTGTGTACTGGTCATAGACAGGAGCGGGGGAGTGAAAAGTCAACCCCCCGGGGTGGGAGCGGATGGCTACACTGCAATCTCTTCTCCTCCATTCTCTTCTTGGATCTTGGGCATGCATGAACACACACCTGGCATATTTTCCAAGCCACTAGGTCTGAGACTCAAACTCCATAGTCAGTCCTGTGGGATCCAGCTACCTTAACCTCCATGCCACATGCTGACCTAGTCTTTTTAGATGTAACTGAAAAGTAGCAAAAAGCCCTATGGACAGAGACAATGACCTGATATTCAAAACTCAACCTTTTCAAATCCTTCCTGTCCCCTCCTCCACACTCCCTTTTGATTTACACAGCAACAGAAGGAGAACTGAGCCCAGAGTTCTGGGCTTTCTGAACACATTACTCCTCTGTCCCACCTTCTCCTTAGGGAATCAAACATCAAACATAGATCTGTTTGGAGGTAAAGCAGCCTCCTAGATGAGGGCCAGCAGATGGCATAGTGGTTATGTCACCAGACTCCCACACTGCCGACCGTGGTTCAAGTCTCAGACCCGGTGGCTTGAAACTCACACTGGGCGCGTGTGCACCCAAGATCCCAGAAGGAGAACAGAGAAGGGACTGTGGCATGGCCATTCCTCCTGAGGAGTGATTTCTCACTTTCCTCTCATTGTCTCTCTCTTTCTCTCTCTGGTGAGTATACATGCCCTAAGGCAAAAACCTCTACCAAAAAAAACCACAAACAAACAAAAACAAAAAACCCAGCCTCCTAAATGTCATAAAGTCAGCATGTGCTGGGTCATCAAGACAACCAGATGAGATCGACAGTGCATCCAAGATTAATTTGGGAAAAGACACTAGGGGAATAGAGCAGAAAGTAACCAAGATGCACACTTCCTCCACAAAAATCAGCCTGGGAAAACGACAACAACGATCATCTAAACTCTGAGAAAGAGATATACCTGAAGGCTGAATCCCAAGGACAAGGAGACATCAATAAGTAAACATTTTTTTTCGGTTGTTTTTTAAATTTTTTAAATCACCCCCCAATGGGGATGGCCATACTCCAATCCCTTCTCCCCCATTCTCCTCTTGGGATTTCTTGGGCAGTCATGCACATGGCCTGGAGTGAACTTTATGCCACCAGATCTGGGATTCGACCCTCAGTCAACTCTGTGGGAATCCAGTGACTTAACAACTGTACCACCACTGGCTTCTCAATAAGTAAACTTTTGGGAACCAATAGACGGAGTAATGGTTACATCACTGGGCTTCCAAATAGTCCACTAAGGTTTGAGTCCCGGACCTGGCGGCTAAAAATTCACACCGTTATGTGTGTACATACTCAAAACCCTGAGAGGAGAATGGAGGAGAAGAGATTGTGGCATGGCCATTTTCCCAGGGGATGGTTTCTCGCTTTCTGTCTCTCTGTCTTTCCGGTGAGAATACATGTTGTATAGCAAAAATCTCTTTAAAAAAAAAAAAAAAAAGGTAAACTCTTGTCCCAGTGTCTGGACTCTTTCAGAGTATACCAATAAGTACCATTATTAAATCCCAATGGCAGAGAAGTTAAAGGAACTTGTCCAAGACCAAACAGCTAACTAAAGGAGCAGCAGATATAGACACAGAGCTTACTCCCATACCTCAGGCTAGCACCATATTACACTTCCTCCTCATCTATCTGACTCCGAACTCCTCACAATTTGGCTCCAAGTAGTGCCATAACAGTGACCAGCTAAACTGTTTCTTGAGGGATTCCTCGACCATATCCTCCAGCCCAAGTCAAAAACACACTTACCATCCACTGTCCCAGCCATGATGTAGAGAGCACAGACTTTGGGATTGTCATAGTACCCCTAGGAAATGGAAAACAGTGGTCAAGCCCACATAGCAGTGGACATTTTCCCAGCACCCACTCTAACAGCTATGAGGCAGAAGAGGGGTGTTACCTTGACAAACTCAATGTAGAGTTTCCCTGTGAAGGTGGACACCTCCCCCTGGACACTCAGCTTCCCCTTTCTGATGCTCATAGGGATGATTTCGTCGTGAGCTGTGCTGTGCCCAACACGATCAAAGATATCCAAGTCCTTCACCACGACGTGGCCATTCAGTCGTACATCAAATACCTGCCAGGATGAGAAGGAAACAATGTCAAAACCATTAGCTTCACATAGTTGGGCATCATGCACCTGCCTGGACTTCAAGTTCAAAAATAATCTAAGCAACAAGAAGTCTGGATATACTCCAGGGCGGTTAGGGTTCACCTGGGCCAAACCAAAGTGTGTCCCTACACTGCCAAGGTTTCATCCTGGCCTCACAGCACAAAGATCCAAAGTGCTCAATACGGAAAGAAGGAAACTCACAGGAAGATTCAGAGAAAAACTACAAACAAGAAGGTGCTAAAATCTAAGGAGAAGGGAGTAACCTGGAGGGTCTTAACAGGATCGGTTGGTTGCAAGGGATAGGATTCTGGCATTGCCTTCTGTCACCACCTCTATGGCAAGTGCAGCCTTGTGGACAATGGAACAGAGCTTTTCTCAGGGCAGAAAAAAAAAAAATCTAGCTTTCTCCCAAAACTCAACTATTCCACTCTTCTGAGAGGCACTTATATTCTCTGGCCTCACAGCAGAAGACTGCCCAAGAGGAGCAATATTCCAATGGTCCAGCAAAGGCCTGGGCGGGCCTCACCTTCTGCTGGGACTGTGCAAAGTAGACCTCAGCAAATTTCAACACCAACACATAGTCCCCCTCCTCCTTGATGGGCACTTCATAGCCAAAGGTCTCCTCATTGTACCGCTCTGTCTGATACAGGATCTGGTCCTCAGGGTTGGAACGCAGGATGGGCAGTTTCATGCCATAGTCTGAAGCTAGAGACAAAAGACAAAGAGAAAGCACATCAGAGGCAAGACACAAAAGGAAAACAGAGAATCCAGAACTGCCAGAGGCATTTCCGTGGCAATGTTAACAATCGCTTCAGTGTAAGGAGCCACCCTTCTGCACCTGGCTCCAAACAGTTCACACAAAGGCAGGATCAGACAGCCAGTAGTACCAAGGAAGAGTGAAATAAAATAAACTAAACACTAGTCACCTAACAGTTCCTATAAAACTTATGGTGGAACTCTTTTTTTTTTTTTTTTAAGTTTCTTTCTTTCTTCCATAACTGAGAGAGACAGAGAAATAAAGAAAGGAAGAGATGGGCATCCTCAAGAGAGTCCCAGTGCTGCAAACCATCCCCAGCCAGCCCCAGACCACAGGCACCCACATGGCCAGCATACTCAAAGAGTACATTCCCAGATGCAAACCCAACACCATTCCATGTGGGCCAGCTTCACAGAGTGTCACGTTTTACCACCGTACTACTGTCTAGCCCCTCACAGCAAAACTTTCTGAAAGCATATTAGAATGACTTTTCCCTGAATGGATGGAGAATGATGGGCGAGAACAAGTCTAACTCATTCTCAGAATAAAGTACTATGCTACAGCTGAGGGAGTGTGTCAGAGAAACCTCCTAAAAAGGCAGATGGCCAGGAATGCTATACAACATGATTTAAGTTCAAAAGATGCTTTCCCTCATTCAGAAAAGCTCAGAGTCTAAAGCAAACATTATACCTTGTTAACAAAGTCATTCTTCATTGTCTTTCCTACAAATAGACTCCAGCTTTTGTTTGTTTTCTTGTTTTATAATTTTCACTCAAAATGTTCCAAGGCTCATAAAGAGAAACAGACGCATAAATAGAAGGGTATGCTACTCTCTCATTTCCTTTAGGCTGGAGCACTTTACTTTCCAGACTCAAAAAAACTCTCCCTCATCTAGTCTCTTGAACACCTCCCAATTAGAACAATAGAAGGAAAAGAGCTCCTACTGCATCTCCAGCACCTAACCAGATGCCTGACACATAATAGCTACTCAATATGGCTTGGCGAATGAACAAATCGCAAAAAAGAGGGTGCCTGCAAAACATGCCATTCTCTCCTAAGGCTAGAGCACCCTCCAGCGAAAGAGAAACTACTGAGGTCCTACTGGCAACTGTGGCTTACGATGCCCAATCCTGGGCAAACCACCTTTCCCATTTCACAAATTGGCAAGGAGCAGGGCACTATATAAGTACAAAGTTACTTAACTTCGGAAAGTGTTAGAAAAGCGAAAAACCTCTACTGCCCCCAGCCCTCTCCTGGCCTTGGTAGGAGATGAGTTGTATATATGTTTTCTTTCTCCCACTCAACAAACTAAACTGGAGTCTTTCCTCAAACATAAGATACCATGTTCTGGCTCCAAGGATGAATTATTATTCTCCTCCAGAGAGCAGCCAGACTCTTTTATCCTATAAACACAATGAAGCATTCCAATGTTCTATAAATCTACTTTCCAAAACTACAGAGATGGGGGCCAGCAGGTGGCGTGGTGGTTAAAGGCACTGGATTCCCACATGGTCAACCGCAGTTCGAGTCCCAGAACTGGCAACTTGCTTTCTCTTTCTCTCTTTCCCTCTCTCTCCGCATGAAAGACAAACATATTCATGATGGGAAAATTCATTTGGTATGTTATAATGATACATAGTGAATGAATGCAAAAAAAATTAATAATAATAAAAATATATTACTGTGAGGGCCAGCAGGCAGCATGGTTGTTAAGGGTGTTGAACTCCCACATGACTGACTCAAGTTTGAGTCCTGGACGTGGCAGCTTGGTTTGTCACTTTCCCTTTCTCTCTCTCTCTCTCTCTCTGGTCAAATTTTAAAATAATAATAACAAACTACAGAGATATAACAGTAGTGTCATGTGTAGTCTCTCTTCCAGAGGTTAAGAACTCATCCACCAATCTCACATGGTGACCCTGAAGGCATTTGCTACCAAACTCCTTTGAGAGAAGCTCAAGGAGTCATCCTGGAGCCTTATCTTCTGAATTATAAAAAATTCCAAAGGAAAAGACATGGCAAAAGGTAAAAGATTAACCAAAGATCCAGTGGCTGAGGTCAAGCCCTCAAAAAAATAAACATAACTGTTAACAGTTCCTGTAAGCGACATTAGCCACGAGATCAGATGGACTGATGAGACAATGGAACAGGAAGCTCATTGCACTTTTGTCTTGAGACTTTTTTCTTTCTGTTTTTCCTCAAGAAATCAAACAGGGGTAGCTGAGTAGCACTATAAAGGATGTACTGCGAACATGCCCCAGCTCGTTCCCAGGCTCAAAAAAAACATTACCCTGGGAGACAAACCTATAAAGACTAAAAACTGCTATTTTTCTTCCAACTGTACTCTCAGGAATTTCCTTCTTCCATGAGGACTGTGATCCTTACAACTTGGAACATTAACTACATTTGATTTATAGATACACAGAAAATTTCTTGCATCTCTTTTTTTTCCCCTTGCCAAGTGGAAAAAGTGAGAAACTGGCAGTAGGGTAATCTGTAGCAATCTCAGTCCCAGGGCTAAGGAATCTCAGCTGTGCGAACAAAAATTACTTAACAACCTTGAAATTACCTTTAAATATTTCCCTTTAAAGCCTAAGTGGCTCTCCCAAGAGATGTGCCACATGCAAAGTTGAATTTGCCCAAGTCCCAAGAGATGTAGCAGCAGAAAACTACATCTGTAGTTTGTAAAAGGACTTTTCTTCCCTCCTTAGCCATTAAGCATTCACAACTAAAGAGATTTCTCTAAAATACAATGAAGTGTACAGTCAGCACACTGCTGAAGTTGGCACAATAAAGCTCAGACAGTTAACCAAAAAGGAAGGGGGCCAAAGGGCCTACATTCCATCTGCTGTGTCTTAGTTTTTAAACAATGGAATGGCCAGCCTCCTTAGAAAAGTCAGTCCAGGTTTTACAGTTAAGACAGGCCTGAATTTGAATCCTGGCTCTGTGACCTACTAAGTGACACTGAACAAGTTGTTTTCTCCAGGTCCATTTTCTCTGCTAGGACATGGGGATAGCGCCTTCCCTACAGCATTGTAGTAAAGATAAAAACGTACAAAGGGCCAGCAGGTGGTGTGGAGGTTAAGGTATAGAAGCCCACCTCTCAGACTCTGCAGTTTGAGCCCTGGACATGGTGGCTTGAAAATCATGCCAGGCGTGTGTGCATGCATGCCCAAAATCCTGAGAGGAGACTGGGAAAAGGACTGTGGCATGGCCATTCCTCCTGAGAGTTGATATCTCTCTCTCTCTCTCTCTCTCTCTCTCTCTCTCTCTGGTGACCACATGCACCCTATAGCAAAAACTAAAAAAAAAAAACAAACTTAAAAGAGCTTAATACAGTGCCTCACACAGGGAAAGACACAGACAGACACAAAGGTATGGTAGCTGGGCAAGAGTATGCTACTTCAGGAAGTCTAGGAAACGGACAAAAAGGAAAAAGAAGTAACAAAACTAATTGGGAACTACAGCTGGAAATCACAGGAGTGGGAAAGCCAGTCTTAGCAGGAGCCTGTTCTACACGAGACCACCACAGTAAAGCTCTCCTTTGCACTTTCATATCTTCACCACCCGCAACATTTGGCCTCCCAACTACAAGATTCTTCTTCTGAATCACTGCATTTTCAAGTGAGGCCAGTTCACAGTGTAGAGGTTAAGGCACTGGAACCCTCATGGCCAACTGTGCAATTTGAGTGCCAGACCTAGTGACTTGAACAACACATCAGGTGTGTTGCATGCATGCCCAAAATCCAAAAAGGACAAAGTAGAAGGGATTGTGGGGTGGCCATCGCCCTGAGAGGTGCTTTCTCTGTTGAGCACATATGCCCTATAGAAAAAAAAATTATTTGGGGCCAAGTGACATAGTCTATACCAGATTGGACTGCAGTACTGGAAGCTACATGGCTGACAGCAGGTTCAGGATCACTGGTTGGTCTGGGTATGCAGACACATGCCCATGCACAGGCACCCAAGATCCTGAGAAGCTGGAGAGCTGGGGATAGGAGACTGTGCCACAATGAGATATTGTTGAGGATGCTTTTTCTCTCTCAGCATGAGCATGCGCTATCATTTTTTTAAAAAAAATTTATTCTGAATGCACCGAGGCAGAGAACCCAGGGATTCGGTGACCTAAATTTTCTACCTGTGAACTTATGCTACTTGGAGGGCCTGCAGATGAGGCCTCCTGTTAGGTGACAGCAAAGGGAGACGATGCTAAACAAATCCAGTGCCTGTAAGCAAATCAGAGGCAGCCATTAACTCCTCTCTCATCCAATCCTTCAGCCTTGTATCTGCCCCCAAGTCAAATCCTTCCCCAGCTGAAACGCAGGCAGCCCAGGAAAGGGTCTTCCTTATGGCTACAGAATTAGTAATGCGATAGGTTCTGCTCTCCAGCCAGCTTTTTTCTCTTCTGGAGCCATGTTCTGCCCTATTTTTAATTCCATGTAAAAGGTCAGCAAGCAAAGGAAGAGATAAGACACTTCAAAAACCCACTCTGGACCTAAGAGTTCTCAGAGTCAAATTAGTGATTTCTAAAGCATGAGAATTTTATTGAAAAAAAAACAGAAGGCTCACAGAAGGTAAAGCATGTTCCTCAAGGTCATACAACTTTCTATGAAGAAGAAATTGCCTTCCCCTAAATCCAAGCCAAGTTTTATGCCCGTAGGCAGAATAACCAGGTCTCTTCCTCATCACAGTCAAGAGGAACCCAGAATTACCAAGGTTCAAAGAATGTGAAGTGTATAGCATGCCAAACCACTGGGTGAGCGCCTGAGAACCTCTTTCTGTACTGGGCCTGCCATCTGTTGAAGCACACAGGTTGAAAAAGCCTCTCCAGCACTAGCCCTCCTCAAGGCAGAAATGAAATTCAATGAACATGAAGTGCCTTTAAAAGCATTCGCCATTAGGTGCCCTGGGCCATTCCCGGTCACAAGAATGCCGAACTACAAAGAAACTACAGAGAAACAGCAAGTTCAAAAGCTGGCCAAACCCTTATCGGGAGGAACTTGGCAACAAATACCTGAATTCATTCAACATAAAATGAACTTTCCTCTGTGTGCTGGAAATGGTATCACAGGCATGTGGGGCAAGAAACAAGGTATACGGCTCCTACTGCAATTAGTGTAAATAGCTGTGTGAGGCAAGGGTCTCCAAATACCTGGCACACCCTAAGCCAAACAGGGCCAGGGAAGAAAAGGCAGAGTGAACAACTGCACTTCCCTTGGTGGAGTGACTCCTTAGCACAGAAACTAGAGAGCGGTCTCCTGAGAATGAGAGTTTACAGCCATCTCAGCTCTAGTCCTCAAGCCAGCAAAATGCTACCCTCCGGGAGCAGATAGGTGCAATGTGGCAAGGACCTGGTCCACACTAGAGCTGACAATCCCTACCCCTCCAGACCCATGCCTTAACACTGTTACCATTCATACCCGATTGGTAGAGGAATGGAGCAAGGAACCTCCATTTACACAATGCTCCAACTGCCAGTGTCTGAAACAGGACTCCAGTACGCATGGGCTTTGGTAGGTCTTGTGTAATTTTACCTGCTACAATAAACTCCTCCTAAGGAACTGCAACCATATGCCACTACCCCAAGGACAGAGAGCTTGGCTGACTGCTGATCAGGCCAAAAACAAACAAAAATGCAAGCCACTTGCACGAGCAAATTGAAAGCAGAATTTCTGAATAAGGCCATGTCCTATAGACTAAACCTGTGTGGTCTTGGGCAACTCTATCCTTTGCATAAGGGACCCAATAAGACACTGTACCCAATGAAAAGCCTGGTCTTTATTAAGTGAATGGGACCATCTGCATACTACCCTCACCACAGCTATCTCAAAGGGCAAAGTCGACCAACTGTCTCTGGTTTCCTCAAGGGCTCCTTCCTCCCTGTCCACACCCATTCGGTAAGAGGAAGGGTCCCGGATGGAGATAAAAATGACCTCCTGCTATAAAGTCTGGCTTCAGCTTGCTGTTAAGGCTGCTTAAGACTGGAGCCCTGACTCAGCTGAACCTAGGCTACTGTGACCTACATGCCAAGGCTAAACAAATTCCAAGACAAACATAGAACTTCAGAAAACAGTCCAGTGTCCCAAAGCCCTCACATGTATGAAAGCAATAAACACTCTAAGATAACAAACTCCAGGACACTGAGATTAACTAGGAAGAAAGAAGTTAAACCCTTTAGAGTAAAGACAGTGGACCGAGTGACAGTCTGTCCCCTAGTTGTATGGAGGTGGCATGCTGCCAGCTGGGCAGCATCTGAACCCAAAGCATACGTATAAATCTCTTCCCAACACACCAAGCAAGGAACTTCCTTCTTAAGCCTGTCTTCCAATCCTACTCACAGAAGAAACAAAGTCTACAGCAGATTTTCCCAAAGGACAGTCTAGGGACAACCAGTATCAGGAGCCGTTGGTGCAGAAACCTGGGTACCAGCCAAAAAGCTGAATCTATTAGATCTGGAATGGGGACCAAGAATCTGCATTTTAAACCAGCTCCCTGGCAATTCTTACACTAACTTTGGAACCATGCAGCCTGTAAGGACCACTGGTGGCTCAACCTCTTAAGTCACAGTCACCTTTCCCATATGCTGGAATCATACGTCAGGACCACCTGGAGCAGGCTGTACCAACTTGGGTATTTGGATCTTAAACTGGTTGGCCCAGTTGACACACAGCCATCAGCCTCACGTGCAGCATGGCTCCCATATAACCATCCTCTGGGGGAAGCCTGCAGCTTCTACTTTTAAACACAGATTCCTCGCTCCAAAGGAGGGCGGCAGAAGAGGGTACAATCAAACTTTCCTGGCCCATCCTCTTCGAAGATTCCCTTCTATTCCGGCTAAGAATCAAGACCCTCTACTGCAGAGGGGGAAAGGAAAGTGGCCGATGGCTGAGTTGGCCAGTATCTATCAGGAACTGTCCGGAGAGGAGAAAGGGCAACGATGACCTATAACCCGTGAGGCCTCGAGGTGGCAAGAGGCTGCCCTCGTCTTTACTTTCCCAGCTTGGATTGGGGTGAGGGGTTGAGAAAACGCAGCATGCGAGGTCCAAATATAACTTCTCGCCAACTCTCTGTCTCGATGGCTCCTGGTAGCTTGGAGCCAGTGCCAGCCGGAGCTCTGACCTGGTTCCCGAGAAAACTGCAGAGAGAAACTTCGCTCCAGACACGTGGCCGCAGGGTCACGGAAGGGGTTCGGGCCCGCAGCCGGCTACGCCCAGCAGGGCAGGCCCCGGATCCCGCGGCTCGGCTGCGGGGCTCTCACCTCTGCCCACCCGGCCTTCCAAAGGGTCCTTGCGAAAGTGGATCCCGTGCACGTCCACATGCGCCTCGCCGCCCGCGTTGACGGCCCAAATGACGCTCTCTGGCAGCCCGGCCCCCGCCGCGCTGGCCACGCCGCGCCCCCGCCCC